TGATGAATAATTCCTGGTGCATTTGTAGCGAGTAGACCAGCTCCGTCATGTTCAGGTGGCATGATACGCACCACGAAATCGGTTCAGCATATGGTGTCAGCGTGAAACTGTTTGGAATTCCATAACTGTTTCAACTAGTGGAGTAGAGTGAATCATCATGGTTGAGTGCATACTTGTTTTTTTTCAATTGTTATTCATCTTCTCCTTGTCACATTTTCAAACTGTTTACGAGGGTCTTTCTTAGTTATGTGAGATGGTTGTGAACCTGCCGATCAGTCAGCACAGACTCTGATGCAATTTCCGGCTTTATCGACCGTTGTTCTGTAATTTCCTAGGTTTTTTCTATTTATTCGTTTACATTTCGTGCATTAGGGATCAGTCCGGTGGATTTCATCGGGGACCTCAAATACCCTCGAATGTCAAAAGCGAAAAGTCGCGATTAAGATTACGTGGGAAAGTCGGTCGGAGAAAGTATCCAGTGATACTACGGATTGGTTTTGTTGTATCAGCGATGAACGTTCGGTTAGCAACACTGAAGTGAACCTGTTCGATCCACAGTCCGATATCCTCAATGGCCATTATCTAAATCTATCATCGGGCCGATAAACCACCACCGTCACCAGCAGCTTACTCATCGAGGTAGGCACGCAAACTTCGATTCGCATTCTCGGAACTAATACTTGTTCATTATACGTTTGTATCTGAGGCATGTTCATTATCCTCGGTCAATATATCCAATTCACTCAAATCGTTTTCGAGGGGTTTTTTGCCACAATTAATATAGACTGCCAGAACTGTTGACATGCGCAATGCCTCTTATAGTCTGACACAAACGGTTCCCTGGTATGAGTCTCGGGCACTAGATTTGTGCAGCGTTCCATTTCGTGTCCTGCTCACCCTACCCCTGTTTTGTTCCATCTCTTCCCCCCTCCCACCCCACCCCCCTCCATCATACGGGCGTATCAACCACCAGGAACAACTTGTTTCGATGCACGTGCCCGGTGACGCGGACGGCACGTGGTTCGGGCTTCATGAAACGGAGTTCGCCTACGCTTGGGCCGATCGAACCCCGGTAGATTATGTGGCTCTGTCGGCCGACAGGAGCAAAGAACATCGACATTTGTCTGAGGATTGCTTTGTGCTTCAACGAGATCGGAATCCCGGTAGGTGCCTAGACTTTTCTCTTCCTATTGAATTGTTATAATGATATGAGCAATGTTCAATTAAGGCGAGGCGATGAATCAAAGGGCTGTCATGCATTACATGGAAAATATGGAAATTAGGTGGTAGAGTTAGTTGGATTCGAACCCACTCCCTCGGGATCCTGGTCGTTCTTTTCTAAATCCTCAACAAGGTGAGTAGTTTTAAATGGTTCCCTTTATCAAACGTGTTTTGTGGTTTCTCTATGCGTGTTCCCTTATCTTTCCCGTGGAGTTTTCATCACATGTGAGTGAAAGTGCGTGGTTTGTTAATTAAGCGGTTCTCGGTGTACTCCGGGTCTTGAAGTCTGGGGTTCGAATCGTACCACTGTCACTCGAATTTGATGGCAAGCTACTTCACTGCTAGATCGCCTGGACACCATGTAATACACTTAGCCAAGACACTGCCAGGTATCATCAAAAATGAGCGGTAGGTCCTCATGACTATGAGTTTCATTTCCCTCTACACCTCCACTTAAAATGCTGTAAAAATGGACGACAACTTGACGAACAGGTCTGTAAAATATTCTTGCCTTCCTTTTTTCTCCCTCCGTCTCTCGGTTTCTGTGACAAATCGATTTCACGTAGATCATGAATGTTCTTTTCGTGGATCTGTTCATCATCGTCCTCTACAATTCAAATTATTAACTGTCTTTGCCACCGGAAACTCTCAGTTGGTAAACTCGATGAACTTCTATGTTCGCGTTCCAGAATTTGCACTAGTGTGGGTATGATAAGCAGCCATGCAACCATGCTGGCATGGTCGCGACAACAGGGCGTTTTACTGACCGTCACATAACGCGCACGTGAAATAGGCAGGTGAATGCATACACATGAAAGTAGTGTGGCTCACCGCGAATGTGTGCGCGCGGAGGCCACCGGTGAAACCAGGAGGATGTAGGAGAGTATCTTGACCAAAATTTTCGCCCTCTGCCTCCCTTCTTATCAGATGCTGTGCCCTCGTACCTGTGGACTGCAGTGGACTGTTCCAGCCGTTATTCAGCGGTCATTTGTCAACTTTCTTCGGTGCCTCAATCGCACCCGGTTTCTGCTGGGGATACCGATCCTGCCGGATGGAAAACGATATCTTGTCCTTCGGGCTATCGGCAGTTTGCAAATCGGTGCTTTGCCGTACGTGATTTTCTATTTTTGGTTCCTTTTTTACTCTCTTTTTGTAAAGTGTTCAAAATCTGCTACTACTACTGTGTGCTCTAGAATGTTCGTTTTAGGAAAGGAATTGGCAAACCAGCCAGATAAACTCATCCCAATGGGAATATGGAGACGTTCAGTTTCTCATTTCTTTTTTCACGAACCGAACGTTCGTTTCTGACGAATATGCTATTCTACTTTTGCATTTTTTTCTCAAACATGCTAATCATCGCGTCCATATCATTGATATATTCATATTTCACGCATGTCTGGCTCCAGACTATGCACCAAACGCATTTCATACGACGCAATAACCTCTGCCTGGATACCCTCGGGTTAAGCAGAACTGAATGCCACCAGGTGCGGTGGAGGTGTCCACAAGTAATCACCCCTACCCCTATATTTTGTATTGGGGCATTGCCATGAAATAGTAATAATTGCATAATGTTTTCAAAATATTTCAATGATTTTTAAGAGCTTTTAGTTGCATTATGCCACCCGCCGACGAATGTCAATTTGAGGCATATTTGTTTAAAATTGTGACCTTGAAAGCATGTTGAGGAGTTTTAACATTCATCATCTCTATTAAGATGGGCAAAACTTCGTATACGGCCACATTATGCATTTGCAGGATTGGCCGGCTTGTACTGCCGGATATACTTTTTGATGCACAATATGCAAAATCGCTCATCAATTAGAGTGGGGCAATTTCTCTGATGGCCTCGTACATCGTGCGACCGGCGTTCACACTAACAGTGTGGAGTCTTTCAGGAATAAAGGAGTAAAGAGCCGATTGAAGAACTTGTACGGTTCTGTCTTAGATATGATATTGGGTGACTTTGATGAGATTCACTATTGAATGTGGTTCGATTTTTCGTATGAAACACTTCCCACCTATATGGAAACATTTTGGAAAAGTTTAGGCAAGCATATTTCTGTCAAATCATTTGATGCTCTTGCTGGTTATATTCTTTTGATGCTATGTTAATCTTAAGTACTTTTATACTGATGTTTATAAGAGCTCATTGATTTTTAGACATCATGCTATTAATGAGTAGTCGTAATATTTCTGCCAAAAATCGTTCAAGGAGGGAGGCTACTGTTGGACAGCGCCCCAGGTGCGTCCCTGGGTTGTGGGTAGGGGGATAACCTCACCGAAGAAGGTTTCGCTGTGAATAAGTTGTGCCATACCGCAACTAATAAGTGGCTGCACTACCATGATTTGGTGGGTTTCAGACTGATCACCTGGCTCCTGTTTAAAAGCCGCATAAGCCCAATGATGTTGTCGTGACAAGGGTCAATGTGACTGACCTTTTGAAACTAAAGTCACTGACCCCGTCAATTCCGAGTCGAGGGAATACTTCCTGCCGCCTTGCAGTTCGCACTTGGTTGTGCGAAGGCTAGAGGTGCGCCCTCAAAATAAAAAAATAAAAAACGCCGAGTGACCCTGGGGACGTCTATCGTACCAAACTCCCAAGAAACTCCATGGACTTGATTATGATGATGTTTGGAGCCGGCTTATCCTTTCCCAAGAGCCAGTCGCAGCAAAGTGAAGTAAGTAACCTTTGTAATGTAGAAATTAGCTTAGGGCTTGGTCTTGGGCGAACTACGGTCAGGTTGGCCAGCCCACATCACTTGAATTTTCATGTGACTATTCACAACCTAAAGTTTTCGACTAGCCAAATTATCACCTGCAAGGTAGCGCTGGCCAGATCATCGAATCATAAGCTGTGTGTTCCAAGGTCAATGGTGCACCATCCACCCATTGACTTTTACCATACCATTTTAAGTTGAACTTGAGAAACTGTCATTTTGATTTGGGAAACCGTCTTTTTGAATTGAGAAATAAACGCTGTGGTTGAATCTACTTCCGTTCAGCATACTTCACTGGTCAATTGATCACACGTTTTTTCTAACCCCGGATTGACCACCTGTCTCCCCGCGCTCTTTCTGTGTTGCAATGAGGTAGACCTCAGTCGTGCACTAAGATGTGATGGACGTCGAATCGGTGAGACGATGAAACCATGCTATTTGTGTGACAACCGAGCTGGACGCCACTCAGTATTCATGGAGGGTGACGCACTGTTTAGTGCGCACTGCAGCTAAAGTACATTTGTTCGTAGTTTCTCTAGCATTGACGATAATTCAATATCTAAAGCTGACCACGGTAACTACGACCTGGGACGAGCTTTGTGCTTACGGTGTACTCGGAGCGATGTACTTTTCATTACGAGTATCATTGGTCCATTTGAATAACAATATTTGTTCAGTGACAGAGGTTGGAGTTCGTGAGGTGAACTTGGGTGAATGGGCTGGCTGTCATCAATGCCCTGGCAACCAAAACCACTTGCACCCTAAGTGTATCTCGCCCGTTCCTGGCTCAGCTAGCGGAACTGAACGAAACAGAACACAGTCGATTTGTTTGGTAAAATGGGTTACACGTTTTCCAAAAAAGTATTGTTGCGCAAGAAACATCAACAAGTGACATTAAGATGCAGTGGACATTTTTCAGATGATTGCGGTTAGCGAGCAGACTGGGTGCTAAATTAATGACCACTGTGGGGACTCTATTAATAAACTCTTTAATCTCCCGGCAGAAATGTAAGACAAGTCGACGGAAATGGATACCAGCATTTTTCTATATTGGATTTGTTGATAAGGTCAGTTACAGTCAGTCAGGTAGACTAGCTGATGAATGATGTAATATCCAAGGAAGAAAAGGGAGTCTCGGCCTATTGCTCCATCGTCCGTGCTACTCAAGACTTCTGAGCTACATCTGCTGAATTGTATGCAAAACTATTTCACTGACTGATGCCAGTTCGTGTGTCTTAATGATATCAGTTCTTCCACAGTCAAATTGTTTTCACACTTAAGAATGCCGATGGATAGTTAATTCAGGTCAATAAATGGCCATCTAGATTCTCAAAATAATGGCGACGATCATGCGTGCTAGAGAGAAGGTCTTCAAAACTTCTTGGGCGGGTATAATAGTTTTATCATGGGGTATTCCTAATACCTGATTTTGTTTTCACAAATCGTGCGTTCAACCTAAGTTGCATCATCGCTATTGTTTCGACCCATTAATTCCATCGTTTATTCATACCGTTGGACCGTAGGTCTTTCATTCAGTTCCTACTCTGTGGCTGTCACCTTTTCACTTCACCTCTCTGTCGAATGTGACTATGTCGAATCTCGAACAAATTGTGTTGCTCTTTCAGATTGCACCGCAACTTTTGTCATGGAATGAGGCGAATCAGTTCTGTGCCGATTCGGTGCGCTCCGCCGGATTCACGGGCTCTTTAGCCTCGATCGATAGTGGCCTCGTACAAGGTGAGTCCGATTCCGACGAAGCTATTCTATGTGGTTGGCCCAATTTCATTTCTCAAACAGGAAACTCACAATTCCTTACCTTTAGATAATCAAGTCAAAGTATGTAAGCTTTATGCACCCGAAGGGTAAATTTTCAGCAATTTTTCACGATAATACAGTGAAATTAGGGGTGGGAGGAGGAATCGCATCGCAAAATTCGACAGCAAACTGTAAGAAGGAAGACGATCGATTAAAATGAATAAATAAACTAATTCATGAGGTGTTCGACCAAACCTGTAATAATAATCGATTTACTAAAAAGCGAGCAAGAAAAGAGAGGATGCTGTTTCTGTATGTGACAGTGCGTGCGGGAAGGAGCTTATAATTGGAGCGGGTACTGGGGTTTGACATGGATTTACTATGTTCGTTATGCAAGCAGTCAACGTTGTTGTTCAAGATTCGTTCGGCCATTCTTTTCCATGCATCAATATGTTTGCACACAATAAAATCAATCAGGACATCTCCGGCTGTGTCACTACATCGGGATAGGACTTTTCTGGACCTGGAAGTTATTGCGAAATCTTTTTCTTTTAGACCGGGAAAATATACAGGGGAACAGTAGAGCCAACGAGGAAGGATGCATGCTACCAGGAATTTGAAAATTACCTTTGATGGACCAGAAAGCATCCGAAGCCTGAAAGGATAAAACGAAAGTTTACGACTCCTGTTGTAAACGTGCTCTACATGTAACGTCCAAAAGAGATTGAGGAATGGAACGACTCCTATGTATTTAACAGAGTCAGCTTGGGGAATGCTGTGACTGTTAACGACGAGGTCTGGTAAATCATTAAAGATAGATTGATAACGGGAGCCAGATTTAAGGCTGAAATGAACGTCAACATTTGGAAACATTAAGCATGCGTGATCGGGGTAGAGGTCAACTTAAAACGGTTACTGTCTTTCAGACTGTCTCCTTAGCCTGTTTTCTCGCCCGATCAAGTTTTGCCATGCGATTCTCACCCGTATTCCGCTCATTCGGACATGGTGCACTGGCGAACCGGAAGTTTGCAAAAACGGGTTTTTGTTCGCATTTTCTAAACCCCTTATTAATCGGTTACGTAATGAAGACAACGAGCCACTGATTTCGACTAAATTTCTTTCTAATTTTACTTCCTTTTTGAATATCGAATGATACAATTTTTCTGTAAGGTGGAAGCATCAAAGGGGTGCTCTGTAACGCAGATGGAGGAAAGTCCGGAAAGGGTGGTGGTGGCGGGATTCAACCACACACGCCTTCCGAGTCGATAATTTGGTGAAGTATTACTAGAGTCACCACTACCGTGAATGCGGTCTGCACATACTTTTGCACCATACACCTCACCTCTTTTCAATTTCGTTCGTTTCAAATTATATTTTCGTCCGACGCATCGTACGATCAAATTCACCGGATCTTGGAACTGCACGGATACATGTGCGCCCTCGGACTGTTTTTTTTCTACGCGTGCTTCATGAATAGACAAGTTCCTAAACATGAATTTACACAAGCTATCATAGGTCGTTTCGCTGCATCTGTACAGGTGAATGTTGTGGCCCGGGGTTGGTTTATGTGACCAGGGAGACAACGAGAGTTAGCCAAGGCGAGATTGCCAGTGGCCACAGACAACAGTAGAGTCACTGATGCAGTTTCATAACTACGGCGCTTTGGAAAACGCTTACTGATTACGTGAAATCCAGAAGAGATGTCTTTCGTGGGATAAGTGTAATTTGCCCCACTGTGTTGTCGACTCAGATCCAAGTTCAGCGGAAGCAACTAAAACTAGTCATGGATCTGAAAGCGGCTTTCGACTCAGTCGACCGTTTTAAACTCTGAGGCCACCTTTCACTGAAGGATGTGCCCGAGAAGTTAATCGCAAGATTATAATCCCTCTACCATAACAGCCAAAGTCGAGCTTACGGCACTTTTTCACCCGAGTTCACCACGGAAAGTGGTGTTCGACAGGGTTGCCCTCTCTATCGGCCTCGTCACAGATGAAGTGTCGGCGCGGATACAAAACGCTCGGTTGGCATTTGCCAACTTAAGGCATTTGTGTCGCCATCGCGACATCCGGCTGTCTGCNAAGCGTCCGGTGTATGCTGCAGCAGTTCGGCCATTGTTGCTGTACGGTGCAGAGACTTGGCCATTACGGGAGCAGGATAAAAATACATTGTCGCTGTTCGAACACCGCTGTCTACGTCGCATTGCACGAATCTGGTGGCGAAACCGGACGAGCAATGCTGAGATCAGGCGTAGAGTTTTAGGCATTCGCGGTCGTCCACTAGAGCAAGTGATCGACCTGCATAGATTACATTGGTTGGGGCATGTGTTACGCATTTCACCAGATAGGTTGCCACGGCGAACGTTGTTTACTGAGGCAAGCAGCGATTGGAAAAACATCAAGGGTGGTCAAATGAGGACCTGGTATGAGGGTATGAAAACCCTTACCAGGAGACTGGGTCACATAAGCCTTAATAGGCCCTTTGGCTGGGAACCCCGAGATTATCATCACCGATGATTAGACACTAAGTGATATGGCTGGGTTTCGCAAACAGTGACGCTCGTGCATCCACTCATTATTCTCCTAACGCTACTCTATATACTGACCCACTAGATTATCCTTCAATGCAATATACCGGCGACCTAAACTCTTAGGACTTGGAGTGGCGAACCACATAAGGCTTCGGACGTCAGAAGGCTTTCTACTAAGAAAGTTGAGTAGCCGTGGTGAGGCCACAGGGATCATATGGTTCAAAGCTTGCCCGTGATAACGATATAATCACTGCACTACAGTCAACGTCTTACACGATCTATACAGTAGTTTACGCTTTCAATGAATCCAACTCCTCCCAGTTATGTGTGATATCCGGCTTCCCAACAAAACACTCAAATAACTGAGTCCAGCTACTCTAACAGGAACCATGGAAAACTTTCAGTAGATGGGAGTTCTGCACACACACGTGCTAGCTCAAGATCTCACCTGTTAAACAGAACTGATGGCACTGTTTGCTGTCTTTCAACTTCATCGAAGGGCCACTTTTGTCTCGTATATACCACTTCATATGCATTTGGTCTCCCGCTTAAGCTTGCTGTCATCCTTCTTTGCGTATCTGCTCGGGGTAAGAGAAGCTAACGGTAGTCCTTCAAAGCAGGAATTAGTAGTCAAAACCTAATTATGGAGCATCACTTTGCACTTTCAATGTGTGAACCTTGGCTAGCCCAATGTTTGTTTGGATACACGGACGGTTTTTGGAAGGACGCTTTGTTGGGCTCCAATCCATGGCCGGGATATCCTCCGTGAACGAATGTACGGGATAACCGACTGTGGGCCGAGTCTCGCGTGGGCTGGAATCGCCGACGGACTGAAGGTTCTCCGTGCAATGTTGGTTAAATGAAATCTTCAAAAGAGTGAACAAGTACAAAGACGATGATCGTAAAGGTCCAGTGAGATATCAACTCCACTCATACTCAAACCGAAAAACAAGGCTGTTGCGGCTTGTCAGTATTTTCGCACAAGTACAATGGAATTAGTTTCAATTGTTTTTGGTGGTGTTGTTCCTGAAAAATTGTCACCGTTTTTCTCGTTTAATAAAATGTTTCCTGTTCTCTATCATTCTCTTCCCGTTCGTATCACAGAATTTGTGTCTAGTCTGCTTGATGGTCTGCCGTTGAAGAGCACATCTGCGTGGATTGGTCTGAAACGAATTGTTTCCGGACTGGCACCGAAAATGATTTGGGCAGACGGTTCCCCCATGCGTTACTTACGTTCCGTTTACCGTTCGCGTAAATTTGGTATTTACAATGACCGTCTGGATGCAAATGAAGAAGTATTGATCGAGGTAATACTCCCCTATCCCATTGGTTTTATTTCCGTATCAGTAAGCGGTACACATAGATACGTGTTCCTAGTCTCGGATGGTTTAGCCTACGTTGTAGCTGTCAGTAAAGTTATTAATCTTAGATCGGTATGTATGCGGATATCCACGTCATGTTTTGGTAAAGCGACCGACTTACTGCAGCACTATGCCCTTAGATCTGTAGTGAGTTTATGCTACACCAAATATCGGTCAACCACTGTACACAATCTGGGTAATCAGGGAATCCTATTGATCGTTTACATAACTTATTCCGAAAATGTGAGCACAACAATCCATTGAATGTTGAACTGATTTTCCCGCCTCATCTTGATTGAGCGCATTCATTCAAACCCGCACACAGCTCTGTTCTGCCATCTATCGCTCTACATACCCTCGGATCAACGGTTTATGGCTTCAAATGTCTTGCGATCTGCCCATCCTGTTGCCCGCTGTCTGTCAAGCAATTCCAACTGCATGGACAGAACAAACTGTCAATCCTCCGATTTCGTCCGTTTGTCCACCTGGTTTCCATCCTGGTACGTCTGGGGATGTCGCATCTTCGACGCTATCTAAACCTATGTGCTACCGAATTCTGGATCCGTCTCGGAAAATGACCTGGCAAGTAAGTGAATTGCATCATTTCTTTTGTATCACCATCAATCAGCATTTTCTTGTCATCCTTGTCGCTTGCGTCAAGCATCCGGTGCGTGAATCCCAGCTGATATGGCTGAAACTTTGATTTCCTTTATTGGACGACTATTTCTGTACCATTTACTGTTCCCCGAGCAATAATCACCTTTCGGTCTTCCAACAGTTAGACACAAATGCTTCTATTTGGCGGAGATTTCAGTGTCCACAAAAAGGAATGGCTCAAGTATGCACTTCATGCACGGGAAAGCGAAGCCAAGACTTTTTCTCTGGCCAACAATCTGAGTGAAATAGAGGACAGCAACACACACGCACCCATGTTTGGATCAGTAACCTTGCGCGCGCGCACACCCCTGATCTTATTCTTACATCCTTTCCTCG